CTGCAGATGCTGGAGCATCTGCAGTTCCTACTATCTCTCAGTTGGATGATGGTTGATCAGACATTCATCTTGTCCACTTTCCTGCCTTTTCCCCATAAACCTCAATCCCTGACTGATCAAGAATCTATCTATCTATCTCAGTCTTAAGCATACACCTAATGACACCATCCCTGCAGCTCTCTGTGGCAAGGAGTTCCAAAGACTCAATGTTCTGAGAGACAAGATTGCTCATCATCTCAGTCTTAAATTGGCACCCCTTTATTCTGAGACTTTTTCTGTCTGGTCCTTGACCTTCACATTAAAGGAAATTATCCTCAGCATTTACCATGTCAAGCCCTATATGTCTCAATGAGATCACCTCATTTTTCTAAACTCCAAAGAGTACAGTCACAACCAGTTTAGCCGTTGCTCATAAGACAATCCCTCCATAACTGTGATCATCCTTCTCCAAAGTGCTTCCAATGAAATAATTCTAACAGGGCTGAACAGACTAGATGCAGGGAAGATATTTGAATGAATGACTGAATGATTTATTGATTGAGTGAGAAGTGTTTGTTGCCACAATCCCACGCCATTTTAACTTACAATAGGGATAGAAAGAAATTACTTAAATAAGAATTCACCTTCCGTTCAAATTGGGGTCTCGAGCATGGCTCCAGGCCTTCTGCAAGGTGCTCTAGTCCTCAAGGAATCCCATGCCAGGAACAGTAACAACGACACTGATGCCCCAGCAGGCCCCAGCTCTGCTGCTGCTGCCTTGCCAACACCACCAAGAGTCCAGGACTGCTGCCAGGAAACCCCGCTCCAGGCACCACCACTGTCAAGAGTCCAGGCTCCAGGCACACTGCCACCTGGAGTTCTCGTTCCAGACTCTGGGCCTACCGTTGACAGGAGTTCAGGCTCTGGGCACTGTCACCACTACCAAGTGTCCTGGTCATCACCACCAATGTTGTAGCCACTGCCCCACCAACACTGCTCCAGCCTCAAAGATGAAGAAGAAAGGAAAAAGAAAAAGGACAAAAAGTATATTTCGAAAACAATGCCACTAGCCTGGAGCGGATGGGCTGTGATGAACCAGAACATTACCTACTGTGCCAACACCATCTTGGATCCCTTGGTTGGGATGTTTAGAACCAAGAGTCACAGTCTCAGGATTTTGGGTTGGCCTGTTAGGACTAAGTTGAGGAAAGCTTTTACATTCAAAGGATAGTGAACGGGTGGAATGTTGTGGAAGCCAGGTCACTGAATCTATTCAAATATTAAAATAATAAGGGGTACTGGGGAAAAAAAATCAGGAGAAATGGTAGATGCAGGTACAGTTACAACATTTAAAAGATATTTGGACAATTACATGAATAGGAAGGGTTTAGAGGGATATGGGCCAAACTCAGGCAAGTGGCACTAGTTTAGTTTGGGAAACTTGGTCAGCATGGATGAGTTAGACCAAAGGGTCTGTTTCCATGCAGTATGACTCTATGACGTTGAAATAGAAGATCAACCATCATTGTACTGAATGGCAAAGCCAGCTCAAAGGGCCTAATCTGTGTAAATGCTTCCCACTGAACATTGTTTAAAAAGAGTTGACAGAAACACTAAGGTGAGACAAATATTTCTCTTGGTTTAAGTTTGCTGTTTGTAAATCTATCCTCGCCTGTAAAATGAGTTTCTGCTGGTGGCTGGATTAAAAAGGGCTCTGGGAGTTTCTAAACCGGCTGTGGAAAGTACACATCTTGTGTTTCTGAAATCTCCCAAGACCTCCTCCAGCTCCAAATCTCATTCTCTGCGTTTTTACCCGTCACCCCTCTTGACTCCAGCACCCGCATTCCACATGCTCCAGTCGCATCCTGTTTTTTTCCGTTCTCCAACACGTCATCACTCTGATTGGTTGGAGGTCCATGGTCACCCCGCCCGGTAATCTGGGCAGTCCCCTTTTTCTCTTGTTCCGAACCTACCGTCAATCACCCGGGAAGTACGAGCGTGTGCAGAAACTGGAGGGAGAACTGATCTACGGGACGCATGTGTGGATGCCATCTTGACAGGAGTAGCAAAGAGAGAACTCTTTAGTTCTAGAAATAATCTGATCGTCTGTAATTGTATAAATCCGTTAAAAGGAGAAGAATTGTACGACAGTTTATGTATATAAGAGCGTTTTTCCTTATTTCATTGGATGTGGTTATCTCTGTTCAGGCCTGTGTTTATTGTCCATCCATCATAGTTCAAAAGGACAGCAGTGCATCCGATGGGATTTTACAACAGTTGACAAAGGTTAGGCCTGCTTTGTATTGAATCAAAATTTCACTATCTGCCCTGTTGGGAATTGGAGCCATGTCCCCAAAACATTAGCCTGCCCAGTGACATTATAACAAGGGCTCTGCTTCCTGGGAAGGCAATTTCCAGATTTGGGGGAACAAGAGGAAACACTGATGCAGAGAAACTGCAATTGTCTGTTCAGAATCTCCATTTTGGACTGATAGATGACTTTGTAAACCATCCCCTCCCCATACAATCTTAGGGGGAGGGTTTCCATGTGGAACAACACATAAGTTCTGTGTGTGGATGAGGTTTACATTGATCATCCATTACAAGGACATCCACCCAATGGAGAAACTGTGGAAATGTAGACTGTGGGAAGGGATTCAATTACCCATCCCAATTGGAAATTCATCAACGCAGTCACACTGGAGAGAGGCTATTTACATGTTCTACATGTGGGAAGGGATTCATAGTATTATCTAGTCTCCAGAAACACCTGCTTATTCACTCTGAGGAGAAGCCGTTCAGCTGCAGTTCCTGTGGAAAAAGTTTCAGGCAGTCAGCCAACCTCACTGCGCACCAACGAGTTCACACTGGGGAGAGGCCATTCACCTGTTCTGTTTGTGGGAAACAGTTTGCTCGGTCATCGAACCTGCTGAGACACCAGCGTGTCCATAGTGGAGAGAAATCATTTACCTGCAGTGAGTGTGGGAAGGCGTTCACCCCGTCCCACAATCTGCTGATACATCAACGCATTCACACTGGTGAGAGACCGTTCACCAGCTCTGAGTGTGGAAAAGGATTCACTAATCCTCCATCCTATTGACACATCAGAAAGTTCACACAAACAAGAAACCATTCACCTGCTGTGAGTTCAATAAGAGATTCACTCAGTTTTCCCAACTGCTCAGACACCAGCGAGTTCACGCAGGAAAGAGACAATTCACTTGTTCCACGTGTGGCAAGGGATTTACTTGGTCAATCAGTCTGCAGATACACCAGTGGGTTCACGCTGGAGACAGACCATTCACTTGCTCCAAGTGTGGAAAGGGATTCACTGGTCATCCCAACTGCTGACACACCAACATGCTCACACTGGGGAGAGACCATTCACCTGCACTGTATGTGGGAGAGGATTTTCCCTGTCCTCCGATGTGCTAAAACACCAGCGAATTCACACTGAGGAAAGGCCATTCAGCTGCACTTCCTTTGGAAAGAGGTTCAGGTCTTCAGCCTACCTCAGTGTACACAAGGGAGTTCACACTGGGGCGAAACCATTCACCTGCTCTGACTGTGGGAAGGGATTTACTCAATCATCTAACCTGATGACGCACCAGAAAATTCACGCTGAGGAGAAGCCATTCAGCTGCACCTCCTGTGGAAAGAGGTTCAGGTCTTCATCCTACCTCAGCGTGCACAAGCAAGTTCACACTGGCGAGAGGCCATTCACCTGCTCAGAGTGTGGGAAGGAATTTACTCAGTTATCTTACCTATTGACGCACCAGCGGGTTCATACTGGGGAAAGACCATTCACTTGCTCTGAGTGTGAAAAGGGTTTTACTCAGTTATCTCACCTACAGGCACACCAGCGAGTTCACACTGGAGAGAGGCCGTTCACCTGCTTCAAGTGTGGGAAGGGATTTACCCAGTCATCCCACCTGCTGAGACACCAGCGAGGTCACAAGTGACTGAAGGTATTGGATTCTGCTGTTATTGTGTCTGTTAAACACATCTGGACATTCACTCTGACAACTAGTGTTTGTTTCGGCTGATGTTAAACAGCCCTGTAACTAGGCTGGAGTTTATATTCCAAATCTATTGCTGATTGCCTCCTCGGATGCTGCAGTGTCTCCTTAAGAGCTGCTGTTTGTGATCATTCCCCCGACTTCAGAAACACTCAGCAGAAATTATTTCATGACAATATTCTGAACTTCTACTTTATCCTAAATTGATCTCACCATGAACTTCACAATGCAGTGTCTGAGAGGTTCTGCTGAATAGAATTAGAATGTGCTATGAATTCTTGCTGACAATTTCAACCAGTGGTCCCCTCCATTATCCACCAGAAAGATGGAGACTGTGAAGTGGAGAATTGAGAACCTCCAATTCTCCCTTCTGCCTAATAGAGAAACCTCCTCGGCATGGGAACGGAGACAAGTTTAGTTCTGGTAATATTCTGTGAGAAATCACTGTTTAATAACTCCATAAAATTTTCAGAAATGGATTGATAATTACATGCTCATTCTCTTTCTTGTGAAGAAAGCTTCCATTGCAGTTTGCTGTATGAATAAACGGAGGACAGACCTGCTCTGTCTGACCAGGATGTGACTCCAGCACAGGTCCTGAAACAAGACATTTCCAACCCTGATATAATTGGAGCTTAGGTCTGTGTAAAGGCATAAACAAATTCTCAAGAGGAAAGCCTTTCAAACTGGCTTTAACTCAACACATACATTCTGGCTCGCAGGAGACACTGCCACCAGCTAAAGAGAGCAGCACTGTCTCTGCTTCGTCTGTCAGTTTGTCCTTCAGGACTGGTAAAACCATTCTCACCTGTGACGGGTTGTGTTTAGCCTTTCACATTAAAGTGTTGCTTCTTAATAAATCATTTTTAAATCATTCATGAGATCAATTCCTCTTCTTGGTGAATCTGAGACTCCTAGACCTTAAATTTTACAAGCTTTTAGGAAGGAGATCACTGTGGTGGAGATCATAGGCTTCAGAAATAACAGTCTTACTTAAACACAGGTGAAGAGGTTACAAGTGAGACCAAGAGTATGCAGAAACAATGACATATAACAGGAAATGACTGAAAGCCTGCCTGCCTTCTCTCTCAGAATATGATGGACCTGGGGATTGTAGAAGGGTGCGCCGGAGGCTGTGAATATATAAGCTTTCGAAAAGTGATAAGGAAAGCAGAGGATGTTCTTAACTATCAGTTGCGTTCCAGCATAAAGCAGTGCTATTTTAATTTTCAAATTTAGGCCTCAGCTATATTAACCCCTCATTCCCCACATCATAGGAGTGAGTAGGGGCAAGACCATGGAGGGATAAAGTCTGAGCTGTATTAAGCTCTCTGTTCCCCATTTCAAGGGGATAGGAAAGGGTGGGGCCATGGAGGGATACAGCCTGAGTTTTATTAGCTCTTCATTCCCAACATCACACGGTTAGGGAGGAGCAAAGCCATGGAGGGATACACATTGAGCTGTGTTGACCCTGCTATCCACTGCCTCACAGAAATAGGGAAGTGGGTATATGCCCTGAGTTGTATTGATGCCTGTATTCTCCACATCATGAAGATAAGGAGAGGCAAAACCTGTGGATTTGAAAAGAAGCATGCAAATTATAAACTAAGACATAACTTGACCAGGAGCCAGTGTAAGTCAGTGAGCGCAGCGGGTAATGGACTTGATGTTGGAAAGCAAAACAGGCAGCAGAGATTTGGATGATCTCACATTTTAGGGGTGGGGTGAATGTGAGAGGCTGGTCGAGAATATATTGGAATCGTAAGTTTTTGAGAAGACTTGTAGCTTGGGTTGTGGATGAGGTTGTAGACTTGCTCACTGAGCCGGTGTGTTTGATTGCACATGTTTCGTAACATCGTCAGTGCACATCCTTTGAAGCGTTGGTGTTTTGTCCCACTTGTTATTTATATGCCTGGGTTTGCTAGGCTGGTTGGCATCACTTCTAGTGTGATGATACCTAGCAGGGTGACGAAACATCTGCAATCAAACACAGCGGTTCGGCAAATAAGTCTACAACCTCATATATTGGAATTATTAAATTTAAAGGTAACAGGGACATGGATGAGAGTTTAAGTAGCAGGTGACCTGCAATCAGGTACAGAAAAGTGACGTAATTGCAGAAGTGTTTTGGCATAGAAGGAGGCTGTTCGGCACACTGTGCCTGCATTGTTAAATGAGCACCATTAGCAAGTGCCAATCTCCTGCTTAATCCCCATAGCCTTGCATGTTATTTCTATCCTGCCTTTCATTCTAGTAAGAAAACAATAATGAGGAAAGAGTCAATATGGGCTGCCCAATCATCAGCTCCTCACCTCTTAGGTGAAAAGCATTTTGACTCTAACCGCCCCAACGGCTGACTGACAATTGATGTCTGCTGACAACTAGGACAAGATTCCTGCCTTTGCTCTTGTTAAATGGCACAGCAAGATATAAGTAGTATGGGAGATAGTAGGAACTGCAGATGCTGGAAAATCTGAGATAACAAGATGTAGAGCTGGATGAACACAGCAGGCTAAGCAGCATCATAGGAGCAGGAAGGCTGACGTTTTGGGCCTAGACCCTTTTT